TTGCTTTTGTCTTGTCTAAGTGGAATGTTCTGTTTTGGAAAAGTTAAAACATACACTGCTGAGAGAAAATGGAAATTGGAATTAGAACAGAAGGTTATAAGAAAACTTAAATGAGTTAAAATCTCTAGTCCCAGATGGGAAAGTATCTTTATTTTCAGAAAAAGGGAAAAAACGTGATCTCTGGAAACCACAGAGGGAAATGCTTCAGACTCCCTAAAAAATAAAGTCTGCATGGGCATTTAGAAAAGAAAGGTGAGGGGAGCCTGAGTGGCTCAGTTGGTTGAGCATCCAACTCTTGATTTAGGCTCAGGTTATGGTCTCACGATCATGGGTTCAAGCCCCATGTCAGGCTCTGTGCTTGCAGTGTGGAGGCTGCTTGGGATCCTCTCCTCTCCCTCCCGCTCGTGTTCACCACCTCTCTCAAAATAAATAAATAAACTTTAAAAAAAGAAAAGAAAAGAAAAGAAAAGAAAAGAAAAGAAAAGAAAAGAAGGAAAGGAAAGGAAAGGAAAGGAAAGGAAAGGAAAGGAAAGAAAAAGGAAAAAGGAAAAAAAGAAGTTGATCGTTCGGGGACCAGCAGGCTTTACACCAATAAACCATACCAAGTCAGATGGGCTGACTCGAGGACACATTTAACAGAATGAGTGGTACAAAGACCTCAAGACTGTGGTTGACTGAATATGTTTCTGAAAAAATGCTGATGACAAATCCATATGATCCATTGGTTTAAAACATTGACATTCTCATTGAAGCATCTGTGCTTATCCTTAATAAAATCTGATATTTGAAGCCACAGGAAGGAAAGGTACTGCTGTCTCGCCTCAACTGGGCATTCCATTTTGAGTAATACGGTCCATTCAAGTGACATTTTGTGATATTTCAAAGGATATTTCGAAATCCAATGATCATGGAAATATGGGAATCAGAAATTATGAAGAATGCTTGAGATTATGGAATATTACACCTAGGGGAAAGAACTAAAAGGACTGCTAGTTTTTTCTTGTTTTTTAATTGAAGTATCATTGACACACAACATTACATTAGTTTCAGGTACAGGGCAGGGATTTTGCCAAGTCAACACCTTATGCTATGCTCACCATGAGGAAATGACTTCACTACTGCCAAATCCTGGAAGGGATGTTAGAGAAGATACAGTAGCTCAAAATATTTCTAGTGACAAGGAGCAGACTGGTTTCCAAAAAACAACCAGTTCCATCATGGAAACTAAGGAAGAAAGAAAATGTTCAAGAGTTTTCAAAATCTGTGCTCAACACAACATGTTCCACCACCATCAACTGGCAAGCTCTCAGAAGTCTTTATAGATGCACATGGCCAGCAGGCACATAGGATCCACCCTCTTCTTGACATTGGTGATGCTAATGTAAAATTCTTGGTGGAACCTTCAAAAAAAAGCAACTCAGATATGTGTTGAGGAACCCAGACCATTCATCATATCCATGACTGGTCTCCATCTAAGAATCTATTTTAAGAAAAATAAATGAGAAAGTTTGGCACATGCCACAGTGGCACTTTCATCAGAAGATGCACTCAGTTTCCAATAGCAAAAAAAAACTGGAAGCACTCTCAAATGGCCCACAATGAGTACAAAGTAGAATTAGAAAGACAGAGTGTTGCAGGATGAAGAACCAGACTGTATCGGAATGTCAGACCTACTGGTTCAGAAAATTCCTATCCTGCCATTTACTGGCTGTGTCAGCCAGGTGGAGGGTTACTGAGGAACAGGTCATTCTTGCCAACTCATACAAATGGGATGATAAATATAGTTTACAGAGCCATGAAGATGAAAACCACGACATGCTAATGGAATTTGTTTAGGCAGTGGCTGGCACAAAGTGAGCACTGAGGGCAAATCAATTTTGATCATTACTGTCTAATAATTATGCCATTTATCTCAAACGTTTCGTATACCAGACATTAACAAACATTATTATTTTTTTTTAATCTCCTAGTCACTCTGAGACGTATGCCGATATGTCCTTAATATACTCATTGCAGATGAGAAGATCAGAGAATAGAATGGCCAAGCAGCTTTCTCAAATTCATACACATGGTAGACTGGAAACACAGGTTTGAAACCCCACTGTAATCAATAAAATGATCAGCTCCATAAAATGAAATATTTTTGTGTCTCTGCATGTCGCACCCCACACATAGCATCATGTAAGCATAATGAAACAGGGAAACCGAAGGACCCCATGTCTTTCTGTTCCCCTTCCTGCTTTATTTCCTGCTGTATTCCACCCCAATTTGACTTACACATGACTTGAGGAACCTTCATTCAACACGGACCCTTACTCCACCCCGCTTTGATTGCATGGACCAAAGTAATGTAACTGAAATCTAAAGTGTA